AATCTCATCAAAATAAATCTTAAATTTTTCTCTAACCTTATCATCATATTCCTTTACAATATTTTATAGTTCCTTATCTTCATTTTAAAAACTATTTAATATCTTCATCTTTTAGTTGTAGTTTGCTATTTTGCTTAAATCTTCAGTTTATACAGTTTATTCTAATGTGATATCTATTTAATCAACTTTTCCTAAAATATTATTTGCAAATTTTCTTAATTAATTCAATATCTTTTAAGAAGATTACTCAAATTCTTAATCAAGCTCTTTAATCCATTAACATTTTTAAATTAATTAAAATGTCTCCATTAAATTTTCTAATTCCATTTCGAAATCGGTGTTATTGTTGAAAGATAATATTTATTTTGTCATTTAAATTACTTGCTAAGATGTTTTTGTTACTCTATCATTTAAGAGGTTTTTCAAATTATTAAATTTTTACTCTAAATTATGAAATATCTTAGATAAAAGTTATAGTTAAAATACTTTTGATTTCAGATCTGAAAAATCATCCGATTCTTAATTGATAACGGCAATGACTTTTTACTCAATAATATTGTATTCGTTCTCTACTTATTCTTCTAATGATTTCCAAAAATTATTCATTTTTTCTTTAAATTCTTTAACATTTAATTTAGATTTCTTAAAATCCTAAAGAATATTTTTTGTTTTTTATTGAGCTATAATTATTTCATTCTTATTTTCTTCATTTGTTCCAAGTAGTTTTATTTTTTCTAAGATTATCAGCCTTTAACTTTTCATGATACTTATGATTGAATCAAAAGTCTATTAAATTTGAATGTTTGCATTTTGTACAGTTAAAAAGGAGCAGCTCTCAATATAGTTGATGATTAGTTGCATCTCATCAAAAAAATCAAGAAAACAGTCTTACTGCAAGTAACTTTTAGCCTTTTCCACTTATTTTTATATGTATCCCTTTACATAAGTTATGAATTATTAAATATGTTTCTCTTCTTTAATAGTATCAGATAAAGATTTTAACTTCAAGTAATATTCATTTACATTAATTTATTAACATGAATTAATTTCTAGTTTCGCATTTTCGAGTATCGCTGTAATGGCACTTTACAAAGCAGAATCTAATTTTATCACTAAATTCTCGGCTTGAGGTAATAATTATTATAAAATACTTACTTTAGATAATTATTCTTTATTAATTAAAAAACTTTTAATTTATTATTCATCTATCTTCTTGATATTTATTATCTATGAAATAAAATCTTCAACTTTTTAAATTTCACTATTTATGTACTCATCAATTAAAGTAACATTTTGCTCATATTAATTATTTATAGAAGATAAATCTGAAATATTTTATTTTAACAAATTCAACAAACCTAGTTTTTTAAAAACTAGCAAATAATTTCTTTTTTTCAAAGCGTTTTCTATTCTACCTTAATCTTATTTTAACTATTCTGATATGGATATTTCTGCTTCAGATGTAAAAAAACAAGTAAAAAAATCTTTTGGCATTTAAATTGCTTCCATTTCTGTAATGTACCTCTTTATAAATTAAGATCCTTTCATGCTAAAATCGAAGAAAGCTATGTCTTAATAAATTTTTGTTTATTTTATCATAGTTTTAAGAACATAAACAAACTCTTTATCTTTTTTTTCTTCTGTATTCAAATGTTCTTTTATATTTTTAAGTTTTTTGTGAAATTATTTCTTATCCTCATCTTTTTCGAACTTAGAAAAAACAAATAAAAAATTCTTAATAATTTTATGAGAATCTTTAGAAGGTTTCAACATTTTTTTAATTACATTTGCAATCTCTTTAATTCCTTATCCTCTATCAGAAATTTACTTTTCACTAATTATAACTACAGGTTTTATGCTCTAGCAAACAGAAATACATTTTGTAATTCCAGTTAAATTAGCTATCTCTGATTCTTTTCCTTCAGAATCTTTAAAACCAGGAGTATCACATATTGTAACTTCCTCATTACCTTCATCTTCATCTTCATCATCACTACTGCTATCACTTTGCTCTTAGTCCTAAACCTTAATTTGTATAGGTATTACAAACTTTGTTTCTGATTTTGCGTTAGAATTTGAAATAACTCGGTCTAAAGATTAGTAAAGAGGTTTAGAAATTTCCCAGTGATATAGCCCATTTTAGCCAATAACTTTTTATATTTTTGATCCAGCAACATAATGAATGAATGTACTCTTTCCTGCACCTGAATTCCCTAAAACCATCACAATATCTTTATCCTTGATATCTTTGCTAGAATCATCAGATTAACTTATCTAATCAGATATCTTTTGAAAATCTAAAGTATTTATTATTTTAAACAGGTCATATAATCTTATTTCTGCCTTATTACCATTGCCATTTTTAAACTCTTAAAGGCTTGATTATAATAATGGTTATATTTATTTAATAATAGCTTCACTTTCTAGCATCATTTACTCGTTTAAGAGATTAAAAAGGATCAAGCATTACTCTTATGGAACATTTTGATTCACATATTTTAATAGTAATAATATATTTTCATCAAAGCAAAAGTTTGCGAGCCTTTCTTACTATTCAAAGTCAATATTTTCGATATTTTATATTTCTTACTAAATTGAATCTTGCGATTAAATATCTTCCGAATTACTTGAAATTCCACTAAAATCCAAATCCATTTTTTATTTTTAATTAAATTGTTTAATTATTTTGAAATTTATAAAAACTTTTATGAAATTGTATGCAATTAAATAAACCTAAATTATAGTAAGGATTTTAGAATATTTAATGAGTTTGAAATCAAATATTCAAATAATTTTTTTTGGTTGATAAGAGTATTCTTAACAGTAAATAAGGGTTTAATTAAATTACGCAATCTTTAAGAAATAGTCTGTAATTAAATAAATGAAATTATAGTTAAGATTTTAGAATATTGAACGAGTTTGAAATCAAATATTCTAATATTTTTGGTTGATAAGAGTATTCTTAACAGTAAATAAATGTTTAATTATATTATGCAATCTTTAAGAAATAGTCTGTAATTAAATAAATGAAATTATAGTTAGGATTTTAGAATATTGAACGAGTTTGAAATCAAATATTCTAATATTTTTGGTTGATAAGAGTATTCTTAACAGTAAATAAGGGTTTAATTAAATTACGCAATCTTTAAGAAATTGTCTGTAATTAAATAAATGAAATTATAGTTAGGATTTTAGAATATTGAACTAGTTTGAAATCAAATGTTCTAATATTTTTTTTTTGGTTGATTAGAGTATTCTTAACAGTAAATAAGGGTTTAATTAAATTACGCAATCTAGATTTATCAATATTATGTAATTTTTCTAATTTAAGAGACTCGAAAATGGAATGGTAAAATAAGCATATATTTTATTTTAATATTTTATTATAATTTTAATAGAATGCATAAAAGTGGGTATCAAATAAAAAATTTATGGTATTTATCTATAATAAAACAATTTCAACTAATATTATTTATCACTGATTGATAAATAAGAAAGAATAAAGAATATTCATAAAGATCCAAATAATGTTTAAAGATAATGATTTTAACAATAAATAAATTTTTTATATAATTTAATCTTAAAAAATAAATATATAAATTCAAAATATAAAGCTATTATATAATTAAAAATGTATTAAATCTATTATATTGCATATTTATATTATTTAATTCAATATCATTAAGGTGCACTGTTAACATTTTTTAAATAATTTATTAAAATAAAATTATAAACAATCAAGTAGATTAATATTTTATCTCAATATTTAAAATTTTTAACTATTTTTGGAAAAGCAATTAGATATTTTGAAAACTCCCTAACCATAACTATAATTATATACATTTATTAAGGCAATAACTTATTATTCTTATTTTTTTATCTGAACAATTTAGAATATTTAACAATATTAGCTTGTTATTTTTATAGACAATTAAGAATGTTTAACAAATTATTAGAAAAGTAAATTAGATCATTTGAAAGGTTTTTAGAAGAAAGCTTTCTAATTAGTAAATAACTTATAAAAATTGATTTACTTTTTCTCTCAAGCATTTAGAATATTTAGCTATTATTTATAAAAGCATTTCAATAATTTGAAAACTGTACTCCCTTAACAAGTGTATATTAGCTATTTATTAGAGGATTGGATTATTATTTCATTTTTATACATTCGACTAAAATCAAGTGACTTATTTTTGTATCTGAAGCATTTAGATTATTTAAAAATATTTACATTGATTTTTTAAAGATACATTCTAAAAAAGTTTTTTTGAAAGATAAATTAGATTATTTTAAAGGTTTTTGTATGAAATTTTTCTAGCTAATAATATATTTATAGCCTCATATTAGCAAAAAGATTAATTTTTCCTCTTAAATATTAAGAATATTTATCAATAGAAAATTTAATCATTTTTACAAAACTATTAAATAATTTGTAAACTACATAACTGTGTTTAATAAGTGAATAACTCATATTGTATATCGTTAAAGTTTTGATTTATTATTTCATTTTAAGACATTTAACTAAAACCAAGTGGCTTCATTTTTTATCTGAAGCATTTAGAATATATAAAATTATTAACTAGTTATTTTTTAGATATACATTTAGAATATTTAACAATCTTTTTTGAAAAATTAATTAGATTATTTTAAAGGTATTTATTTATATGAAGGTTTTCTGGGTAATAATATATTTAGAATCTCATATTAGCATATAGATTAACTTTTCTTCTCAACACTTAAGAATATTTAGTGATAGAGTATTTAACCATTTTTCAAAGCTATTAAATAATTTTTAAGCTACATACATAAAGTTAAATACCTTTTAATTTTGGATATGCTATACTCATAAATATATAATTAAAAGAAGTTTAGAAAAATGAACTTTTTAGTAATTTAATTTTAGTTTAATGAGTTTAAAAAGAATAAAAAATATGAATTTACAATATATACTTCATACAAAACTAATAATTAAACACAAATTATTTTACTTTATAACAAAATCAAGAAAACTTGGCTTTGTATGCTGCAATTAATTCGTTGCTACGACCATCTTGCTTTCCAATATCTTTTAAAAGTGATTCGACAAACAGATTTGTTAATTTTTTGGAGCTTTAGGCTGAATTTATATCTAGATATTCACTAATTCCGCTAGTTAATTTTGCAATATCTTCGTATGTACTTTTTGCTCCTGGATGGAGATAAAATGTATTCGCAGGAATCTTTTTACTGCTAAGTTTTTAACACTCTGGAACATAATAAGTTAATCCTTTTAGTGGAGTACTATCCCAATAAGTTTATCCAAATGAATTTCTATGAGCTTAAGCTTCATTCTATAGATGTGCAGGTTAATCCCCTAAAACTATTACTTGGCTTATTGGGTCTTCATCATTTTATTTGTTAGCCCACCATAATCCTACTTCTACAGATTCTCCTGGTCCTGTACCGCCAGAGGCTGTTATTGTTTATAGGAAAGACCTTAATTTGTCTGGATTATTTTCCCAAGTTGAAGTTTAGAATATCTATTACCATCTGCTAGTATAACTTCTAAAACAGCTTATCATGATTAAAAAACATTATGGATCATATCCTTTTTCCTTTAAGATCTCCCTAGTTTATTCAAAAGTTGTCTAAATAGTATTTTTAGTTTAAGTGATGAGACTACCCATTGATCCAGTAATATCCATAGCAATTAGAGTTTTAAAAGTTTTTTCTTTTGGTCCTTAATTCAATTACAATAAGTATTTTTTAACTTCTTATAGATTACGATCTTTTAAAAAGTTTAAGAAGTTTTCTGATTATTTATGACTAGTAATAGAGGTCTTTTGATTATATTCTATATTACTTTTAAAGTCATTTTCGAAATTAACCTGACGATTTCTATCAAGGACTTCATATATTTCATCAAGTTTCTCAGTTTTCTTTTAGTCTTCTTCTGTTTTAAGGAAAGCCTAAAGAGTGTCTTGTTGAAGAACCATGCTGTAAGACCCTTCTTCACCTTATCTTGCTGTCCTTCCTTTTGTCTAGGTCTCTTCAGACTTATCCTCAGAAAAGAAAGTCTGAATAACATGAATTCCATAATTTTAAAATATAATTGTATCATTAACTTAGAAATCTATGCCCCTACCAAATATTTTAGTAAGTAAAGTAATTGCACCAGAGTATGTTGCGTCTTTTATAATTTTCTTTCTTTCTTCAATTGAGTTTTCTTCTGTCATAATTTAAGTCTAGGAATTTTATTTTAATGTTTTGAACTGTTAACTATTGTAGTAGTCAAGCAAGATGTCTTTGGTATTAAAGAAAACTAGTACTGCTCTTTTTTAATCAGTTTTTCCAACTATATTCCTATTTATTTCATTTGTTATAGTATTGTAATACTCTTATTACAAAACTACTTTCACATCTTTTTGGGGGTTAAATTAAAACTTACTCTTTCCATATACTGATGGTATGAAAGTGTATTATTTCATATTATATGTGTTTTATATTAATTCGAGCTGGCTTTAACTTAAAGTTTCTAAAGTTCCAGTGACACCATTAATTATAAAAAAACTTTTTAGGTAGCTCTGAATAGCTAAAACTTCCACTGTTAATTT